TCTTTATCCCTCCCCAGCCCACCTGCATTCCCTCCAGCTCCTCTTCATCCTCTCCATTCCCACCTGCTTCCCCTCCATTCTCACCTGCATCCCCCCATCCCACCTCCATCCCTCCCACCAGGAGCACCCCCCTGGCTCACCTGCATCCCTCCATCCCATCTTCATCCCCCCCAAGCCCACCTGCATCCCTTCCACCCCTCCCACCAGGAGCATCCCCCTGGCCTGGCTTCATCCTCCCCTCCATACTCCAGCCTCCAAAGGGGATGAGGTTCCCCTTAGAGCGTGCTGAGCCCCAGCTGGGATGAATTTCGGGTTCAGCAGGAGGTGACTGGGCTGGGAATGCCCAGGGAATGCCCAGGCAGGCTGGGCTGGGCAGGGAATGCCCAGGGAATGCCCAGGCAGGCTGGGATTGCCAGGGGTGAGCCCAGAGCAGGAGCAGCGAGGCTGTGGAGGTGCCGTGACCCTGAGGAGCCGCCGGCAGGGCTGTGGTGCTGTGGGGGCGACTGATGTGGAGCCAGGGCTGTGGGTGGAGGGAATTTTGGAGCCTGGTCCTGCTCAGGCCTTTTGGCTGGTCCTGCAGCCCCTCTGTAGGGTAGCTTTTTGCTCCAGCCCATGGTTGGAACACCCTGTCCTGCTGCTTTCACTTCCAAAGGTCCTGTGGGAGAAAGTGGGGCATCACCACCCCACTGCTGTGCCACTGGGGGGGAGGGATCCCAGGCTTGGGAGCAGCTCCTGCTCTGCATCCCAGTTTGTGCACATCCCACTCTGATCCTGCTGTTGCCTCTCCTTGGTCTGAGCCCTGTCCCATCCCACCTCTCCGTGTGGGCTCAGCTGGAGCTGTTGGTCCTGGAGCGACCTCAGAAGAGGGACTGCAGTGGTTTTGGGGTGTGTAGGAGACTTTGTGGGGGGACAGGCAGGCTCAAACCCCCCCAGTGGAACCTGCCTGCAGGTGCAGGACTATGGAAGTTTATCCCACATGGAATGATGGTCTTGTTGGGGTCACACAGCCGAGGATTCCCTGTCTCCCTGTCACGGGCAGGACTGAGGGAAGGCCGAGCGTGGTGAAGCCCATCCTGGTGGGATTCCCCTTCCCAGCATCCTGGTGTCAGTGGGGCAGCTCAGTGTGGGCTGGATGAAGGGTTTGGAGGAAATTGGGGTGCTGCCACCCTGCAAATCTCTTGTGCTCCCAGGGAAACACCTCTCCAGCCCCTACGGATCATGCTGTGCCCGCCATGGGGAGCCATCCCTGAAACACCCCCAAAACTTGGGATGTCTCATCCACGGGCATCCCTGCTTTCCACCACAAAACCAGGGGGATTCCCACATGGGGAGTGCCAATGGGTGAATCCCAGGGCCAGATTCCCAATTCCAGCACACCGGGATGGGGCTGGTGTTGTCCTGGGTTGTCACCAGTGTGAGCAGGAGCTGAGCCTGGCCCTGAGTCCCTGAATCCCTGAATCCCTGAGTCCCTGAGCCACTGCTGCATCCCAAGGACATGACACAGACTCCAAGGCCTCGCTCAGCACCTCTTCCCTTCCCATCTGGTGGCAGCAGAGCCAGGTCATGGGGAATGGTGACCAGGAATGTGTGGACTGGGAGGGCATCTCGCCTCCAGGGAGACCTCCCAGCCCTTCCATAAGTGCAAGCCTGGAATAAAATGGGTGAATCCATGGTTTTTCAGTTGATCCTCACGTGCTAAACTTTGATTTTGCTGGATTAATTAGAGGTTTTTCCTGACTTTTTTTTTGTTTGAAACCACTTTAAGGCAGACACGAGCCCCCATCCTGCTGGTAACTGCATTCCAGGATACATCCTTTGGGATGAGTATCACTGCTGCAGCCTTGGAGTGGCAGTCCTTGGAGCTGGGAGGCTTTTTTGGGCTTGCTTGTGCCTTGGGAAAGGCTCCTGTGGAAGCCAAGGCAGTGTCTGGGATCAAAAATCAACCAACAGCACCTGGGGTGGGAATTGGGGCTGGCTGGCTTCCTATGGGATGGCAGCACTGTCGGAGCAGGGGAGTGGGAGCTGAGTGTCCATCCCAGAGCCCTGCCTGGGCTGTGGGGTTTTAGCCCTGTCCAGGTGTGGCAGCTGTGCTTTGTGGCTCTAAATTTGGGGTTTGGGGTGTAGACATGGATGGGGGGAGCTGCTACCGTCATGTTTGCCTGAGGTTGGGAACAGCAGATGGAAAAGTCGCTCGGTGCTGGGTGATATTCCCAACTGTCCTACAGAACTGTGCTCTCTGTGTTACCCCCACCCCAAGTCAAAACGCGTGCCAGGGCTCCCAAAAACTGATGGGTGGCTCCGAGGATAACTCCAGGATTGGCAGTTCCCCCTCCCCAGGCTGCCAGGGAAGGGGGAATCCTGCTGGGATCCTTTTGGCTGCTGCGTGAGAACGTGGATGAGGATGGGAAGAGACGCCTTGGGAAGTTTGGCCGTTCCCAAACTTCCACAGGCTGTGGCCAGGGGAGATGCTGCCCTAGCACTGGGATTTGTCAAGAAGCTGTGGCTGCCCCTGGATCCCTGGAAGTGTCCAAGGCCAGCTTGGAGTAACCTGGGATAGTGGAAGTTGTCCCTGCCCTGGAGGAGATGAGCTTTAAGGTCCCTTCCAACTCAAACCATTACGTGATTCCATGATTCTCACTGCCTGAGCCTGTGGATTCTCTGCTGTCTAATCCCACGGATGAGCACACCGTGCTTCTCCCTGGGTTACATCCTCCCAGGATCCTGGAGGGAGACATTTCAGCCCCTGTATTCCCGGGGAGAGCCCCCGGGACCGTTTGGCAGCACCTGGAAGAGCTGCTGTGCAGAGGCAGAGCCAACTCCCGAGCCCAGCAGGGCCTCGGGAGAGCCCTGAGAGGGAAAAGGGAGCCGTGGAGAGGAATTCCCCAGCCCCGGGGTGCTCCAGGTGGCTCCGGAATAACGAGCCCCTCGGCGGGAACCGGGAAGGAGCCGCTCCCGTTGTGTCTCTGCTCCACGGGAAAGGATATTTGGAAGTGCGGGGCGACCTCTCCCCGAAGGCACGGGCTGATCCCGCTGTGCCAGGCGGGATGGGCATTCCACGGGCATTCTGGGGGTCGCTCTGGCTGGCGTAGCTTTGCCAGGTTAATTAACTCCCACCTCGCGCTCCCGCAGGTGGATTTTCCACC